GGAGAGAGAGAGAGAGAGAAACTGCCCATTTATTTCTGGAATATAGGAAGATGTGTTTTCAAGTGATACTCAGAACAAAGTGCACATTAAAAAGTCACCAAAAAAATGCTTTAAAAATTTTTTTTTAGACCCAAGCTTGAGACCAGTAAAATAGAATACTGTAGTAAATTTGCATGGTCTGGGGATGTGGCTGGAAAGTGCCTGTGTATGTGATTGACAATGTTCTAAAGAAGGCATAGTTTTTAAACTTCACTACTTGAAGTAGACTGTTTTTTTTCCTATGCTTGTATCTGTACTGGGGTCTTTCCATTTAATATACTTCAAGGACTATTTTCCTTGATTCACTGAGGACTTCAATAAATAGATACACTGCCATCAAATCCCTGAGGTCTGTGTACTTCCTTTGGGTATAATTAACTTGGATGGCTCAGTAGATCTAAACAACTACCTCAGACAGTAAGGAAAGGAAAAAGTGAAATACTCTAGATATTTTTTCTGGGATTCTGGAGCCCTCTGATTATTTTTTTAAGGTCTGAGTTTCATAGTATAGAATGAGAAAGTCTAAAATTAAGTTACATTTAGGTAGAAGTAAACTATCACTAACTGAAATTCTGAAACTTGAAATGACTTTCAAATTCAATGAAAATAATTATTTGATTACTCTTTATATATTCCTAGTTTCTTTCTTACTACATCTGAAATGGTTTATAACTAAGATTGTATATAAAATAAGTTTGATAATATAAACCCAGGGATTGGAAATGGGATCTGTGGAAAGAGGTGGAAGCAAATCTACTAATCTCATGGGCTGGTACAGCTGTTCCGAGCATCACTGTGATTCTTAGCTTCCTGAAAGGCAGACCTAAATGAGAAACATCTTAAATTATTTTCATTAAAAGTGAAGAAACATACAAAATTTTCTTTGAAGCAATTTTTTCCCTAGCACTAAGTTCTAAAAGAAAAATTCTTCTCATGTGCTTTTCTTTTAGCATGTGATTTCTCTTTTGAAATTGATTATTTAAATACACAAATGACTCATGAATGCATTTGACAATACAGAAATATGTAGATTAAAAATTCAAGTTCTCCTTCCCCCTTTCAACCTCACCTTCCTTCCTACTGGTATGTAGCAGTCTTGACCTTTTTCTAAGATCTCTTTTCATTCCTACATCCTGCCTCATGCATAGCATACACAGGGATCATATATATGGATTATTCTCCTGCTTACTTTTATTTATTTATGTCTTAAAGGTCATCCATACCAATACAAACAATTCTCTTTTGTGAAACTACTGTAGGAACATCCTCAAATGTATCAAAACAATGTTTGAATTGTTTGCAATTCTTCAAAATACAAATGATGCTTTAGTGTCATGTGCATTTACTTAAATATTTTGTGCAGCAGATTTGATAGATACCTGGAAGCAGAAAACTGGGCCAGAATACTCACACAAAAAAATGGCATGAGGGTGTGCTGTAAATGCAAAGTACCCTTAAGATCAGCAATTGTCAAACTTTTGGTATGATAGTGTTCTTTCAGGTCCTCCATCTCTTGTTCAAGCTCTCCTTCCTACCTGAAGTCTAGTATATACCATTCTTTTTCTTTTTTTTAAAGATTTTTATCAGTTGTTGATGGACCTTTATTTTATTTACTTATTTCATATGGTGCTAAGAATCTAACTCAGTGCCTCATGTATGCTAGGCAAGTGCTCTACCACTGATCCACAACCCCAACCTTGGTGTGTACCATTCTTGACCTTTTCCTAAGACTCCCTCTCATTCTTTACATCCTGCCCCATGCATTTCATTTACGTAGTATAGGATGATGCTCTTTGGAGAAATTTCATACAAACTGCTAAAGATAATTCTATCATATAAACACTTACTCTGCCAAATTACATGACATTTTGTGTGTGTGACATGACAACACACTGTAATTTCACATCTCAAAGAGGCCAAGTTGGCACACAAAGACAAGCTTTTCCCGAGGAATTTTGTTTCCAGTGTTTTGTGACTTATTCATTTATTTCTTGGCTATTAGCATTCAAGAGCAGATAAACAGTACCTGTAAATAAAAAATTAGGAAAAAGTTGAATAACTTTCTTCATCCAGAGTGAAAAGGTACCTGTTGATTGATTATTAGCTGAAGGAAAATGTAAGTTCAGCATGTTCCAAGGGAAAATTATTGAGAACTAATCTTCTAGATTAAGTAAATGACAAAAATAAGAATTATTATACATAATACTACTAGTGCAAGATCCATGTTAAAATTTTAACCAGTACCTCTTTGAAAAGATGGGCTGTCCCAAAGGACTTTCTAGCAAGTTTTAGGTGAATTCCAGGCTGATAATATCTTTAATGCTTCTTGATGTTTATTTATTTCTAAAATTTACTTCCTTCCTGCTTCTGAAATCAGTTCATTTGAATATATGCAAGTACGGTTTGCTTGTGCTTAGCAATACTCATGTCTTTGGCAGCTACTTCTGACTTTTTTGAAATTGAAAAGCAGAATGACTCCTTCAAGCCAAGGATTCAAACAATTCTAATGAAATACTGAATAAAGACAGAGCCACTAAAGCAAATTATAGTGTGCTTTAAAATCTTACAGTGTTTTCTAGTACAACTTGAGCATAAAAGAAATCGAACTTCTATCTTAAGGTAAATGCCAGCATCTTCCAAATACATACTTCTTACCCTCCTTGAATTTGATGTCTTATAAGAGAGAAGAGCCAACGTGAGTTGCATTCTGCAGAAGTCTTTGATATGTAAGTCATTGAACAACTCTTCTGATTCAGTCCTCTTTTAGCCTCCTCATTCCAACTTCCTAGGTTAACCTCAGTCATGAAGTATTAAGTTCATACTTTAAGCAAAAGAAGAGAAAAGGCAGTGGTTGATCAATCACTTCAAACAATAGATGTTACAAGGGAGACAAATGAGGAGTATCTCCCATAGGATATTTGTTCACAACACACATGACAAAGGAATACTTCTAATATGGGTTAGGTGTGAGGTATCCCCCTAAAGCTCATGTGTGAGACAGCACAAGAATGTTCAGTGGTGAAATGATTAGATTATGAAAGCTGTAACCTGATGTGGATTAACTGGGTAGTAGCTGTAGGCTGGTAGGGTGTGGCTGGAAAAAGTAGCTCATGGGGGCAGGGCTCTGGGGTATACATTTTGTCCCTGGTGAGCAGAGATGGCTCTCTCACTTTCTGATTGCTATGTCCTGAGCTCCTTCCCTCTTCCATGCCATTCCACCATGATGTTCTGCCTCCTCTCGGGCCCAGAACTATGGAGTCAGCCCACAGTGGACTGAACTTCTAGAGTCATGAGCCAAAATAAGCTTTTCCTCCTCTGTTGTTCTTTTTATTATTATTATTATTATTAGTTACAAAGCTCTTGACATATCATATTTCATATATTTGATTCAAGAATTATGAACTCCCATTTTTACCCCAAATACAGATTGCAGAATCACATCGGTTACACATCCACATTTTTACATACTGCCATACTAGTGTCTGTTGTATTCTGCTGCCCTTCTTGTCAGATATTTTGGTCACAATGATGAAAAGCTGACTTAAAACAATTTTCATTTGCCCTTAGTCTTTTTGCTTTTAATTAAGTTTGCAGTTGATTGGATGCTTTAAAAGTTTTTAAAGCTTAATAGGAATGTACACACCTTTAATCTTTCACCCTATTCACATTTCCACAAGATATTCTCAGAGTTTTTTGACTTGGGAGAATTTGAGGGGGAAATTTTCATGCTGGGTCCAAAGATTTTTGGCTTCCTCTGCCTAGAGGAGGTCTTTGACTTATAAAAATCATCCTCTTCCTCTGGCTAGTTTTTAAAGATCAGAATCTAATGATGATCACCAACAAGAGGGGATTGGGCCACTAATTCCCTTTCTTCCCAGTTTTCCTTGAATTTGAATCCTAACTTCATAATTGGAATCCCCTAGCATGACATTCCTGAAACTTGGCTTTTATGTTTGTAATAAATTACCTGGCTATTACTGACCCATCTACATGGGCAAAAGCTGTACATGGACATTATCCTGGATTCATCATGAATTCTAGCTCGTATTTTTTACCACAACCATGGCACAGAGACTGATATGGATCTGAGAAGTTCTGTATGTCCCCTTATGGAACTGACTGGCTAACAAATTCCAAACTCTCCTCACCTATGTAACAAAACTACTACTGACAAATTCTTCAGAGGTGTTGTAAGGATTAAATGAGGCAATATATACAAAGAGATTACCATAGTGCCTTAAACCAGGGTAAACATCAATCGATAGTTAACTAGGAGGGAGAAAAGCCAGCTACAAAACAACTCCTGAAGTTTACTGAGGCAGATCTTCAATGAGGGCTCCCTTGCTGTTCTCACTCCCCTCTTGGGTTCTGATCTTCATGTTATTTAAAAGCAGGCTAATGAGGTTACATCAGGGCCAATGGCTCACACCAACATCATCTAAGGCTCTCCAGTTTGTAAGACCAATAAGGTGCATGAATCACTGACACTAAGTGACCTGGGGGTTGGGGGGGCACAAACTAGTTTGAATCTAGTGTGAGAGAAAAACAAAGCTACCTTCAGATTCCATAGTCATTATGAGTGGAATATAATTAGGATTGATGCAATAGACTGGCCTTCCTCCAGTAGTTTATAAAAGACCACTTTGATATTATCTTGAGTTATAGGACCTGGTACAGCATATTATACGTGTCTGCGTGGTTTGGGCCAGTCCTCAGCAGTACAAACAGTACAAGATGCGCTAGAGAAGTGTTTACTTGACCAGGCAGAAGTTTGGTTCTGGACATAGCTTTACCCTGCTGGTCATAAAGTTGTCTTCCATAAGACCCCTACCTCCAACAACTTAAGGCCTAGGGTACTCCAGCATGCTGATTCATTGGCTAATGCAAATAGTTCCAGTCCTACTTCTTCACAATGACTGCATTCCTCAGCACAAGAATAACTATGCCCTTTCTTTGTAGTCCAAGGCCTAACAGATCTGAAGACCTAAAGAAACTGTTTGCCTCTATCTCATTCCTTCTTTACCAGGATCTGAAGACTTCTTCCTGGTGAAAATTGATCAGTTTAACATTGTAGCGTGGCTACTCTTAATACTGAATCTAAGTTCTTCTTCTAAGTTCTATTTTTATCATACTTCCTTGAGGAATAGAAAAGCAAACTGGAAAAAGATATGCTTGGAGATTGAGATCATATTGGAAACTTGGCATGGACCATCCCATACTTAAGCTCACGAAAGAGCTAGCTATTTCATCTATTGTTTGCTGAATATGTTGCTGCCTCTACTTTGCCTGCTTTCTATATATCTCAAACTTTTAGAATCAACAGTTTCATGTTCACTAATAAACTCTTCTATTTAGGACAACGTGAGCAGTGTAAACTCAACAGAGAATAGAGAAAGGATTATGTCTATAAGGTCCTTTATACTCAGGAGTAGGGGATCCATCTCCACTGAATAATCTATCCAGAGACAGAGCAGAAAGGAGTGGACTATTTAACACTTCATGCCTTTGCCCAACAAATTCTTCCCTAACCCTACCTTGAGCAAAGGCCCAGTAGTATATAAGAAGACTGAGGCCAGAAATAAACATAAACTAGTGATGAAGACTAAATCAAGGAACAAGTAAAACAGAAGATGCTGGAGAGGAGCAAGGGCCAGATTGTGGAGAGTCTTTATAATGTAACCAGCTCAAAAGTGACTCTGTAGGCATCAAAGAAGGAGGAGGAGGAGGAGGAGGAGAAGGAGGAGGAGGAGGAGGAGGAATAATAAGAGGAAAAAGAAGAAGGAGAAGGAGGAGGAAGAGAAAGAAGAAGGAGGAGGAGGAGGAAAAATAGCCAGTGTAGGTATGGTGGTACATGTTGGTAATCCCAGAGACTCAGGAGGCTGAGGCAGGAGGACCACAAGTTCAAGGTCAGCCTCAGCAACTTAGTGAGACCTTGTCCCATAATAAAAAAGAAAACGGGCTAGGGCTTAGTGGTAGACTGCCTCTGGGTTCAATCCCCAGGAGAGGGAGAAGGAAGAGGAGAAGAAGAAGAAGAAAGAAGTGGAGGAAAAATAGACATTGACACTTGTATTTTCAAAGGATCATCTTAGTAAACACTGGAGAGTGAATTGGAAATGAGGGAGGTTAGTAAGTTGTCATGTAGAGGAAAGGAAGGAAGAGAGCTCTAACTAAGGTAGCGATCTAAGGAATACAAAAAGAGGGTACATTTGAGAAACATTTAAAAGTAGAATCAAGACAACTTAGTGACTGTTTGGATGTGAGGGAGGAAGAAGGAGAAGATGATGATTACTTTAACTTGGGGTAAATTTGTTTATTAGTTTTAAAACAGAAAAGTTGTGTTAGAATCCTGACAGAAACCAGGAGCAACTAATCACTTAGTAACTTTCCTTCTAAATGACTTAGTAAGGAACTGAGTAAACCCACCAAAGTGGGTATCACCTAGGATATCCACTGAGTACAAGTTTTCAACTTGGCTATATACTGGGGGGGGCACTTTAAAAAAGGTCTGTACCCAATTTCTATAGGTAAGACCTGACCTTTTCAATAACTCTAAAGCACTACCACAGATGTATTGGTTTCCTTAGACTCAAAAATGTCTACTACTCATTTCAGTGATTACTCGCCTAATTGACCATACAACATACCTTCCTCTTACACTAGTAAATATGAAAGAATTGGAAGTATGGGTATTTGTGGGCTCTCGGTTCTGAAGGAGATGTATCTTGGCCTTTATAACCCAGGAAAGATGTAGCCCAGAAAGGCAACCTGAACTTTCTAATCTACCTAGAAGTCTCCCGTGACCTGAGCTCCCAGGAAACCTGGCTCTACCAGGGGCTTACTCACCTGGTGGAATAAAGGGGCGGGGCCTGAGGTGAGTGTGGTGAAGACCTGCGCTGCCAAGACTAGTTTGACTCACAAACCTGGAAACCACACAGTCGAAAGTCATCCTCAAAGAGCAAGGTGTTTTAGATTCCTGGAGTTGCCATGACAAAGTCTCACCAACTGGTTGTTTTACAACAACAAAAACTTAATTCCTTAGAGTTCTATAGCCTACAGTTCCAAAATTGAGGTCTTAGAAGTGCTATTCTTTCTCTGAAGGTTCTAGGGGAAAATCTCTTTTGGCCTCTTCCTAGCTTTTAGTGGTTGACAACATCCTTGCTGTTCCTTGGCTTATGGTTGTGTCTTTACATCCTCTGCCTTGGTCTTCACATGCCCCGTGTGTCCAAGTTTTGCTGTCCGTACATGGATACCTTGTGAGCTCACCTAATCCATTGTGACTTCATATTAAATGGATTAAATCAGCAAAGGTCTTATCTTCAAGTAAGATCACATTCACAGGTACTAGGGGCCAGGACATGAACATAGCATTTGGGAGACACAACCCAACGTACAATACAAACACCACCTGTGTAATCTGTCTTGGGCTACCTCTAATGTCTTCACTTTTCAGGTTTTACCCTCTGATTGCTGAATACATAATTGCCTACCCTCAACCCCATCAGCGTCTCTAAGATCAACAGAGCCACAGCTTTTCAGAAGTAGATATCACAGAGGATGTCCTCTTTATATATGCATTTTCAAAATACACACTTAAAAATGAAGAGACGGTTCGAAACTTTCCCCTTCTGGCCTACTTCCAAAAGGAGTCTAACTTTATTTTTGCCTTTATTTTTGAAGTTTCTAACTGGAGCATACCACAAATAACTCCATCTTACAGTCTGACCATTAGCCCACCTCACCCTCTTTTTCTGCTTTACTATCTTTCTTCCTTTCCTTCATATCCCAGCCAGTGCTTTGATGCCAGTGCTTTTCACCAACACACCAGCTTTGCTTCTTACACATATTAGCAAAATTTACAAAACCCTAAGTTGGGAAAGCTGGGCCCACCTTGGTCTCTGGCTTAACCCCTGCTTTTTCTCCAATCAATTTAGGAAAAAAGTTCCAAAGATAAAAAGCCATACTCCTGTGCTATTTGAGGAACCTTTATGCTACCAGCTTGTTTTTCTGCACAGTCATAAAACTGGACCTCAAAGATGCAGACCATTGCACAATTTGTACTCTTTTCCCTTGAACCCAGGCTCCCACCAAACCAAACCCACTTCCTCCTTGACTACAGGCCCTCCGTGCTGCTTAGAAAACGATTAAAGAACTTGGGACTAACTACATGAAAGGCAGTCTTCTATTTTTATGTTTGTCCTTTTGCATTAGAAATCCTAAGGGATGGTTTGTTCACGCCTCACTGGGCCCATAACTGAAATACCACTGGGAGCTTTCCCCGTATTTGCTGACTGTTAGATTAACTGCTGTCTATTTCTGGCCTTGAAATATTTTTTTTCCTGTGAACTTGAACAAATAGCTTAACCTTCATTTCTCTTTCCTTATAAAATGATATGCTTATTGCCTATGGATGTTAATAGGCTTAAGATTTTTACCAAGTGATTATGTATCAACCTAAATTATAAAGCATTTTATGCTTATTTTTATTGGTTGTGCTACAGTCCTCTTCAATATAGGAGACATTTATTTATTTGATGGTACATTTATTTGTGTACCTAGCATTGTGTTACAAGCTATTATAGTCTATATCTTGTTAGGAAAATAATAAATGTCCAGTACATATTTGATTGGTCAATGTACAAGTTATGGTCCCTGATTTCAAGGAATTTTAGAACCTCTGTGGTTAGGAATACTTTGAATATTTTTAGGTAAAAGCAATTTGGTTAAATAAAATTGTTCTTGGGCAAGTCTAGGCATTAGTAAGGGTAAGGGCTAAAGAAAGGAGAAGGGACTAATCTTTGTTAAGTACTTAATAAAAACTAAATACTTCACCAACATTATACTTTAATCCTCACCACAAACCTCTAGGATAGGTATTTAACATTCCCATTTCCAGAGGAAGAAACTGAGGGTCAGGGAGGTTTGGGGGTTTGCCTAAGTTTACACCTCCTAAGTGGGGAATGAAGGTTCAATGTCAGATGCATTGAATACAGATCTGTTTAACTACAAAGCTGGTGCTTTCATCACTATGCTAGTTTGCTAAGGCTACGTGCCAAACCCTGGGGCATGGATCCCATTGTTTAGTCCTCTTTATTGCTGTTGAATTAGAGGTCTTCAGATTCTCCTGCCAATACATGACCAGTCTCTGGGAGGAATCGCTTAGCATACCTAACACATGATCTAATAAGCATCCACTGTTGCAGTATTGTAGTGCTTGTGTTATAGAATTCAGAACAACCCATAGTTTCAGGATGCATTGGAGGTCTTGGAACACCTCCCCTGAGAATCAGAACTACACAAAAGTTCTCTCTCTTTTCTTCCCTCCAAACTTCTCAAGTCCTCCGTACTTTCTTAGTGTCTTCCAGTGATGCCTAGAATTCCCACTGAGCATGCTTTCTTGGAATGAGATCCACAATTCATGAATCTTCATCTGATTTCTTTTTCCTCTTCTAAAATTGTGGCAAAATACACATAACATAAAACTTACCATTTTAACCATTTGTAAGTGTTTTGGCTCAGTGACATTAAGTAATTCACATCTTTGTGAATGCCATCCCACCTATCTATCTCCAGAACTTTTCCATCCTCCAAACCAAACTCTGCATTCATTAAACACTGAGAGTTATCTCCTTCCTTCACTCCTTGCAGCTACCATTCTACTTCCTGTCTCTGTGAAGGTACCTTATATAAGTGGACATAGGATATTGTCCTTTTGTATCTGGCTTAGCATAAATTCTTTAAGGTTTGTTCATCATATATCATGGGTCAGAATTTCATTCCTTTTTAAAAGGCCAAATAATATTCTAGTGTATGCATGCACTACTCTTCTGATTTTCCCTTTCTCTTCTTTCTTCATGTGGTGACTGCCTAACCAAACAAATAATAACTGCAGCATTAGCCACTGATACAGGCTTAAGATGATGGTCCCCAGACACAATACTTGTTAGGAAGGACAATGGGCCTGAAATGCAGAATCATGAGCTCTGGATCCCAGTCTGCTGGGTGTCAGCTGGATGGCCTTAGAAAGTTACCTTAGATTTCCAAGCACTAGTTGTCTAATCTAAAAAGAAAAAAAAAATCACAGACTGTCATTCTAAAATCCTGTGGTTTTAGGAGTGTCTTCAACATGTTGACTCAAAGTTAATGTGGAAAGTGGCTGTGGAAGCATTGTAGCAAAGTGAGTAAGGGAAACACAGGGGAAGAGATTCTCAAGCTTTCCAATTACACACACACACAAGAAAGGCAGCATTCTACTGCATTCAATTTTTCGCCGTTTAAAGTTTCCCTGTCTAAAGTTGAGGGCTGAGTCTTAGAGAATTCTTATCTATTTCACAGAATATTCAGCTTCTATTAGGCCTCTGGGATCTTGCATATCTCGTTGTATTCGTTTGCTTGTTTCATTTTTTTTCAAACTTGGTGATATAGAATATTTCAAAAGAGAAAATTTTTAAAAATCAATATTTTTGTATATTATTGGGTTTCTTTTGTATTGTTTAATACGAGATTAAACACATTCTTTCATACGAGATTCTCTGATCATTATTCTTTGTAGATATGTGTGTCCCAAGTGCACTTGAAGACTGCCCCAGAAAGTGAACAACAAACATGGGCCACAACAAGGGCAGGGATCGATTACATCCCTTCTACTGTAATGCGCCTGGGGAATGACATAGAAAGGAAGGGAAGAATTTTGAAGACCTCCTCTTCCCACATGTCCTCAATTTCATCCCCAGTTTTATGTTTCCTTGAGTTGCCATTGTCGTGGTTTCTGACTACTCCGTCCGTGGATTCCAGGCAAAATAAACCAACACGTTTTTTTTTTTTATCACCATTTTCTTTGTGCTTTGAAAGTTTATCCAGGTGGACACATGTGGCACTAATTCATTAGTTTTAACTGCTGCACAGTGTTATGTTTTATGAACCCAGTACAAGTTATTTACCTGTCCTTTCATTGGCTGTTAGCCTGGTTTCAATTTGCCCAGGAACACTTCTCATGAACTTGTGTGAGGTGCTCTCAAAACCTTGCTGCCTTAGGAAACCTGTTTTTCTTATTTTTTGATGCAAAATTTTTATGAACACCAAAGAGTTCCTGAATTCAACAGAAATAAACTGAGTGCTTGCTGAATACAGAGATACTAGGAAAAGCAGAGACAAAGTTCTGTCCTCAAAGAGGGGCTACTGGACTAGAAGAACCATCAAATGATAATGCAAATAAATATAACAATCCTAGTAAAATAAGTAAATTGAGAAAAATGTTGTTGTCTTTTAAGAGCATAGAAGAGGAAGACCTGCCCAGCTCAGGGCATCAGGGTTGATTTTCCTGCCGTGATGCTTGGTCTGAAGGGGAAGGGAATTAATGACAGCCTGGTAAGGAAGTAGGATTTAGGGTAAGATGGGGGTAAGGAAGCATCAGAGGAAACATCAAGTGGACAGTCCTGGGACTGGGGATAAAAAGGGGAGAAGGACCCTACACCTAGAACAAAGGGTGGAGGGAAAGAAGGTGTGAGAAAAACTCAGAAATTAGACGGGCCAGAGCATAGGGAATAGTTGGCTTTTGTTCTCAATAAGGGAATGCCATGATTAAGCTGGAAATGAATATTAATATTATGATTAATGAGAAGAAATCAAGTCATATTTGGGTTTCTGGGCAACAAACTCACTGGCCCCTGGATGGTGAAGTCTTTGTTGGGAGCCCTGCACCAATTTATGCTGAATCCCTGTGGTTGATGGGAAATACCTCACAGCCACTCTCACCTATTCTCATGAAGAGTGTCTGAAACTAGGAACCCCTTGGAAGTTAGGAGCGTCTGTTTTCATGGCAGGTTGCACAGCAAAGAGAAGAAGAGGGTTGATGGAGACCAGGGAGTGAGAGTCTGTAGAGAAAAGGGAAATGGAAGAGGAGTCAAGGTAAGGGAGAGTCTGTCCATAGAATAGAAAAAAGAATGGGAAGTGGGGGAAGACAAGCTGAGAGCCTGGCTACTAAGTCATCCAGTGGGTACAGAGATCAGGTTGAGCTAGGCAAAACATGGGGACAGGGCATCAGCAGAGACTTCATTTGAGATCTAGAAGGAAAAACAGTTGTTTTCCAAAGGAGACCAAATAGCTCACATATGGCACAAGACAGTAACCAAAATTCTAGTTTCTGAGAAGCCTGAGTTCTCCTAGATGCATCCCATTGTTAACCCTCTACTTCTTAGGAAACTAAA